CAGCAGTTCTTCAAAACAAAAGTGGCATTTCTCTGGTTTCAATGTGAGGCCTGTGGAGCGTATGGCTCGTAAAACAACTTCTAGCCTCTTGAGATGCTCTTCAAAAGTTGGGGAAAACACTATGACATCGTCTAGATAAACTAAACAGGTCTTCCATTTTAACCCTGAAAGTACAGTGTCCATGAGTCTTTGAAAAGTAGCGGGCGCTGAGCACAGACCGAAGGGTAGAACTTTAAATTCATATAAACCATCCGGCGTCACAATAGCGGTTTTTTCCCGATCTCTTGGGTCTATCTCGATCTGCCAATATCCACTTCTGAGGTCCATTGAAGAAAAGTAGCGAGCGTTCCGAAGCCTATCGAGGGAGTCATCAATACGTGGAAGCGGATACACATCTTTCTTAGTCACTTGATTCAGCTTCCTGTAATCCACGCGAAAACGCAGGGTACCGTCCTTTTTCTTAACTAATACTACAGGCGATGCCCACGGGCTCTGTGATGGCTGAATCACATCATCTTCAAGCATTTTAGCGACTTGTTGCTGTATCACTTCCCGTTCCTTTGGAGCCACACGATAAGGATTCTGGTGTATAGGCCTTGCTGCGTCGTGGGTAATTATTCGATGCTTTGTTAGCGGCGTTCGACCGACCCGTGATGTCGATGAAAAGCAGTCCTGGAATTCAGCTAGCAGCTCAAGAAGTCTAGTTCGTTCGTCCCTTGACAACGTAGTACCAACGTCAAGATTAGGTAGTGATTCTTCTTGAGGTGCTTCGTCTAGGGCCGATAAACTGTCTTGGATTTCTGCAGTAGTGTCAAAGTAAGCGACGGCTGTACCCTTTGGGAGATGTCGGCGCTCAGTGCTGAAGTTAGTGAGCAGCAAGTTTCTGCGTCCAGCAGTGACAGTGACAAGACCTCGAGCAACTGAAATACCGTGGCTAAATATCAGTGAGCTTATTTGGTCAGCAATGCCATCGCCGTCAAACGGCTCATCCCCTGCCACCGAAACAAGCGTACAGGATCGTGGCGGTACGACCACATCGTCATCCGTCAGACGCAAAGGCCCTGAACAAGACGTATGTCTCAGCTCTGAACAATCGACTAAAGTAGGGCTGTTGTTGCGAAATGTAATGACACTGTCAGGGATGTTGATCACGGCGCCATGTTCTCTCAAGAAATCCATTCCGATAATCAGGTCTTTACAGCATGAGGCGAGAACGACGAACGTCGCCACGAAAGTAGAGCCACCGATGTCGAGTCTTGCTGTGCACATTCCGACAGGCATCAGTAATTGGCCGCCTGCCGTCCTTAAGTGAGGTCCCGTCCACGCCGTCTTTACTTTCTTGAGGCGTACGGCAAGGTCATCACTGATAATAGAGAAGTCAGCCCCGGTGTCGACTAAAGCTTTGACTTGCTGTCCATCCACAAGAACGGTAAGGCCCGGGGTCATGGTTTCGTCGGTATTACGTCTTGTCGGCTTTACAGCGTCCTGAGGTGGGTGTAATGGGGGCTTTTTTTCTTCGTCTTGACAGCCTGCAACCTTACCCCCTGAGGTCGCCGCCTTCAGTTTCCCCGGTGTGGGCTGGGTGACCTCGCTCCTCTGGTGTCGGCAAAAGTGCGGCGCTGCAACGAAGGTGACTGGGCAGGAGAAGGAGAGCGTGGTCGATGTCGGAAGACCGGCTCGTAATCAGTTGTAGCCTCGTCATCATTGTTACGGCGGCCGTCGAATGGGTGTCGATGTACCGGAGCTGGGCCATGACGCTGCCCGATGCTTCACAGTCCTAGTGGGAGCCGTTCATCCAGCCCGGACGTGCCTACTGCAACCCCTGTCCATTGATTCGGTCGTCGGCTACGAGGTATTCCTCCAGACTGCAACCCCTCGCAGAAAACCTCTACCAGACATCTAGAAATGGCTAACACCAGCCCCCAGCCTGTACTTCTCGGCACCAGTGCTCCCGCTCCATCCCAGGTAACGTTTTTTCAATCGCTGGAGCCTAAAGGCTTTGGTGGTGGCGCACACGAAGATGTAGAAGGCTGGTTAGACCACTATGACCGTGTTGCGAAGATTAACCACTGGTCTGCTCAGGAAAAGCTCGGCCGGGCCTACTTCTATCTCGATGACAGCGCTCGTACTTGGTACGAGAACAGAGAAGGCAACCTGTCCACATGGACCGACTTTCACCAGAAGATGGTTGAAATTTTTTGCCAATGTCGACAGACGTGACCGCGCCCACCAACTACTAGAGCTAAGGGTCCAAAAACCCAATGAAACGGTCGCCATGTTCGCCGAAGACATGACACGTTTATTTCGGAGGGCTGACCCGCAGATGACTGAAGATAGGAAGTTGCGCTACCTCATGCGCGGCGTGAAAGAGCAGCTGTTCGCCGGACTTCTGCGCAACCCGCCAAGCACTGTCGAGAACTTCATCAAAGAAGCGTCGGCTATCGAGCGGGCCCTTCACCAACGCTGCCGACAATATGACCGCTTGTGCAGCAGCCCCCAAACTCAGGCCACCGCTGTGACGTTTGACAGTCATGGCTCCTTACGTGACATAATTAGAGAGATTGTTCGTGAAGAATTGCAAAGGCTGCGGACTCCGGTAGTGGATACACCCATGGCATCCGTCGCTCAAGTCGTCCGTGACGAAATCCGCCAAGCATTCTCGACAGCTGATCCTGCCCCCGAACAACGTCCCATGACGTACGCCGCCGCCCTTCGAAGCTCCCCACCCGCTCCGCCTTCATACTACCCAGCACCTCCACCAGTGTCGCAGTGCAACGCGAACAAAAGATGACAGCAGCTTACGGCAGCGAAAAGAGCGTATTCAGGATCAGCTCTACAGCAAGATGCCTGCTTCGTTGTCGTCCCGAAAAACCACCTGACCCAGTAGCTGGAATCTACAAAACATTCCTATCATCGTTCTTTTTCATATAAACACGTGTCAATATACCTTTACACCCTGCAATGTTGGTCGGTAGGGAACCGCTTTTTAGTCATAAATCATTGTTGGCATTTTTAAAAGAAATTCATAGTTTTCATATCGTATACTTTGGGCATTCCGTTGCAGGACCTCTCTAGAGAGGTTTTTGCTGCGGTGGCTACACAAGAAAGCACTTGCCTCACGGCCCTTGGACGCAAGGGTATGAACAAGTGAGGCACTTGTGCTAATGCCATACATGTCCACCATCGTTTTTTATTATCACCAACTTTTGTCATCTATTCACACCACACACATCTTGCATGGCATGGTCATGATTTTATTACTTGTATGTTTTTACCCGCCTTAGCGCGAGGAATTTTATGGCCCTTATACCGCCGCTTATCACAATCATTGTCCATAATTTTAGTAAAATGAACTGGCGCTCTTTGGCCGTGCAATGGCCCTTGCGCCACAAAACATGAAACATCTTCAAGACTACAAAACACACTACAAAGTTGCACAATAAGGCCAAGATTAGGCATTTAGCATCAGCCATGTATCGTAAAATTCCGAGCACCCCCTCCTTTTTTAGTAGCAAAGCTCTCTAATGTCGAGGTTTGTCTGTTGACATTGTGCACTGTAGCTGACTGTGTTGATAACGCTCATGAAGATGAAAGATGAGCACGTTCTAGGTTACACAATCACTTTCTGCCATCATGGCACAGCACATGTAAGGTACCCACTATAGGTCATGACGACTGCACTGATGATGATGATCACAGACACCAACTGGCTTGTGTAGTAGATCATGTCTCGCTATGCTGCACGATGCATTTCGTATGACTGGAAACAACAAACAACCACCAGGGGAATGTGCACAGACCTTGTCTTTGCCATCTTCAGGCTACAGCTGATACCACAAAGCAGTGATAAGGAAGGCAAAGCAAAATTCATAACTCAACATGACATATCAGTTATGCCCAGTAAATGTTGTATATAATTGCACACTGCTTTGTGACTCACTTACATGCATGAGTGGTCAATGCCATGGGTGACTTACGATAACGTGGAATGGTTCCACTGCTTCGCCCCCTCATTCACTTCATAGATAGGCCTTTTTAAGGGAGATTTGCAATATGCACCATTGGCAGAACAAACATCCCCCACCCTCCCCTTTCCTTATTTTCACTGTTTCATTCATTATTTTGAAAACTGAATACATGCATTCTCAATAAAGCATTTTGTTAGCACCATGAGTGTGAATTTTTATTCTTAGTGGCTCTTCCTCCACAATCTTGAATATTGCTCTATGACCGATCAAGGCCCCCCTTTTCGATTCTTGTCAAATTAGCTTTCACTGAAAGGGGAGGGTGGGTGCTTGCTGAGACTTTACAGCACATCGAAAGCCATCACGCAGGAGCAATGTACAGCCCTGTCGCGGTGGTCTAGTGGCTGAGTTACTCGGCTGCTGACCCGCAGGTCACAGATCAAATCCTGGTTGCGGCGGCTGCATTTCTGATGGAGGCGGAAATGTTGTAGGCCCTTGTGCGCAGATTTGGGTGCACGTTAAAGAACCCGAGGTGGTCAAAATTTCTGGAGCCCTCCACTACAGCGTCTCTCATAATCATATGGGGGTTTTGGGATGTTAAAACCCACATATCTATCTAGGAGCTATCTACACTGTGCTAATTATATTTCTCAATGCCCAACACAGCAACATCTACATCAATGTAGACATGTATTGCTTTCGTGTTACAAAGGATTCCTATAAACTTGGATTAGCCAGGATATTTTTGTCGAGTTAAATTTGGTAGTCAGTATGTCTGCGTGTTGCCTGTTATCTCTTATTCTGAACAGGTGCTTTCCTTCAATGCTTAACTGTTTTCTCCTTTACATATCAAAGCTTTGCTGCTGCTGTGTAGCTGAACACACCTGAACTACATGCAGAAGCATTGCAACCAGGCCAGTTGATGTCTGGGCACATGGCTGCTATATGCAATGCTAAACCAACGAGACGCATGTGTGTTTAGTAGCTCGTCGCTTCATTTATTCTGTACAAAGATGTGGTGGTTTATCTGTGCAGGTCGATTCCCATCTCGATATGTGCTCAGCCTGCTACTGTTCTGGGGCTTCTTCCTTCTTTACGCTCTGCGTGTCAACCTAAGCGTGGCCATTGTGGCCATGGTCAATGGCACGGCCGTGCTTGCCGCGGGGACTACCTCCCACGGCGCTGACTGTCCCGCCCCCGATGGCTCTCTGTACAATGCCACTGCTGACCCAGAAACGGTGAGACGTGTCAGATCGTGTAATTGCATTATTTTTTACCATGCTAAATTGTTCAAGCTGTCTAGCCTATGCTACTTAAAGGAGTTGGTACTGCAGAACATAGAGCTTGTTTGTAGAAGTTCATCAGGGAAAAACAGAGTGTGCAAACACAAACGTGAGAAAAAGCAAAAACATATGACATGGTTTGCTGTTTTCCTTCCTCATTGTCTGTGTCTGTGTGCCTTACTTTCTTCTATTGCCAAATTGAAATTGCAGCCAATTTACTTAATGCAAAATTTTTCTGAAAACTTAGTTCCCAGTTTGTTAGGAAACATAGTCTTTAATTAACTGTACCAGCCCAGCCTGTAGTAGCTTTTTTGTCCTATACAGTTACCTTCTAGACTGGAGGCATCATTCATTAACTTAGCAGAAATCCACATTTGCAGCAAAGCCCACTTTTGCTTTTTAGTGGCGACAGCTGGTTAAACAGACTTGGTATTTGTCGGTAAATGTGCTGCAAACTTAGAAAAGTTTTTGACCAGTAATGCACAATTCAGAAAGCTTAAAATACTGTACAATTAAAAGATTATATTGTTGCATGTGAGCAGTAGGTGAGCCGAGCCACACCACAACTTCTCGCTGTGCGCAGGCTGGAGGAGAGTTCAACTGGGATGAACGAACGCAAGGTGTCGTTCTGGGTTCCTTCTTCTATGGCTATGTGCTGACCCAAATTCCCGGTGGTCGGCTGGCTGACCGCTTTGGGGCCAAAAGGCTACTTGGCGCAGGCATCCTGGTGACCTCGCTGCTCACCCTTCTCACACCGTTCGCTGCACACATCAGTCCAGTGACTCTGATGGTGCTGCGCTTTGGTGAGGGCATCTCTGAGGTGTGTTCGTCTCGCTGAACTTTCTTTGTTAAGGCCTATGCTTTAGCTCATTTTATACACTAAGCAGCATTTCTTTCTTAATTGCTCGCTCTGCCAATTTCGCTTGAGTGATTCTTGCCATGAGATAGCATCTTTGGTGTACATAATTTGTTGAAGCCCTTATTATTTCTAACTGGCTGCTTTTGGGAAAATAAAAAGTGAAAAAATCTTATTGAGCCAAAGCAACGTCCAAATCGAAGACGGCAAAACCCAAATTTTCGGCATCCTTCAGAAGTAGTTGAAGGTAGGATTTGCCACTACCTAATGCTCTAATGCCTTTTGCAGTCATGGAAGTTTGGTGACCATGTTGATGCTTAATACTGGCAAGTTCACCAGAGTGGAAAGTGAGGGGTGAGAAGCTTCTTCAATGAATGTTTGACAATGACTGTTTGTTGCATTACTGCTAAATAAAAACGCAGCATGTGCTCATAGTTATCTTAGCCATAATTCAATCAGTGTACTTAATGAAAAGAGAAAAAAAAAAAAGCAGCAGGAAACTGCTCACTAAGACGGCCAATAAACATAGTGTGGAACTGCTCCAGTAAGGACAATAATGAAGTGTCTAAGAACTTGCAAGAAAAATATTAATCTTTCTGACAGTGGATGCAAGCCGCTATAGGAACCAACGGCCTTAAAGTTTTTAATGTCCATGCGACAACAGTTGCATGTGTATACAGTTACATGCTGATATGCTGTGACTGTGCGATCACTGAGTAGAACCATTATTCTGGCATGCCTAATTTATTTCTGCAGATGGACCATTGTAAAAGTGAATGTCTTATATTTTGCCCTGAGTGCTAAGCCAGTTTTGGAATACTCAGTCAGAGCCACCTCACAGAATGTGTGTTCTCTGAATGTATCCTGTAAGCAGGTGGCATCTGTTAAAAATTCTGTGCTGTTTGTCAAAGATTGTTATTGTGACTGTAAATAGTTATCTCAATTCTTAAGTGCAGTAGACTCATTAGACAAAACCTGAAGGTCATGGTAAAATATGTTCTGTTTCAGAAGCTCCAATTACTGAGAGATTGATTGGGGTTGCAGAATTCAAATATGAAATTAATCGTACTAGAGGCAGTTGATCTATTTTGAGCAGCTATCCCATTTAAGAGATTTTCGTTTAATGAGAGTCCTCCGTATTGCAGAGATGCCTAGTAGTGGGTTCCTGCAGCAAGTTTTCATTGAACGCTGACAGCCAAACCAAACTTATGGGGAGCAGGCTGCTGTTATCCTTCTCAGAACGCGTACAAAGTGTGTCGATTAGAGAGTGACTCCATAGTTTCTCACTTCCATATCTGTTATATGTTGTTCTGTGCACGATCTGCCGCACTGACTTCACTTGGTACGATGCAGCTGTGCTACCTTGATACCAAAGGATGTGCCAAGTGGTACTGCTTTCGTGGCAAAACTATTGTGAGACTTCCTTGGTGCATGTACAACCTTAGTGTCAAATTAAATGCCACTGGTTGGAGCACGACTCAGCATTGGCTAAATAAAGTGAGCTTTTTATAAATGGTCTGTTGTCTCTGTGAATCTGCTTCTCATGACAAGGTTACGTGACAGACTGTATCATATCTTGCGCAGCATGTGCCTCGTGTCAAACCCGCCCCCTTTGATACGATAGTGCGGTGAGGGTACGCACCCTTTCTTGTCTCGCTCGGTATATAAGTACTGCTACAATAAAGATAGGGGCTTCTTCCCATCGCACCCCTTCATCATGCCTTGCTCAATCGCGCTAACGATACACAAACCAAATGGCAAGTATTTTCGTGAACTGATAGAAACCGTCAAGTGCTGTCAATATGTGCACATTTTCCTGACTTCTTGCCTACTTTTCTGTTGCAAGTGTGAAATAAGCAACGGGAAGAGTTTAGCCTCTGATGCACAACAGAGTGTACATTCATAATGTAGCAATCTTATAGACGGCAGGGTGCCCAACTAGTTCTACCCACACACGTGACCTTTTGTACATGCAGGGTGTGGTGTTTCCCTCATCCCTGGCATTGCTGTCGCACTGGTCACCGGCGCACGAGCGGAGTCGGCTGGTGAGCCTGAACACGGTCGGCACCGCGGTGGGAACCGTGATCACGCTGCCGCTCACCGCCCAGCTCTGTGCGAGTACCTGGGGCTGGCCCGGCATTTTCTACCTCCTTGGTGCGTCTATGAGCCCCCCTTGGACCTGTTTAGTTCATTCTAATGAAAACTTTCTTTTTTCGTGACACGAGTAAAATATGAAATGGAAATCAGCACACAGTTTGCAAAGGCACACAAAACAAACACAAGGCACAGGCTTTGTGCTATGGAAGAGTGGGCACTCTTTTTGCCTTATGATCAACCAACTCGCTCAAGATGTGTTGTACAACTAAAAAACGACACTAGTGATAGACTGTCATTATTGGCTTTGGAGGTTTCAGTCGACATGTCGCTGCTTCTGTAAAAAGGTGCAGCCGCTTCATGCCTGCTTTATGAGCTTTTTAGGTTGCAAGCTTGTATATTCTCAAGGATAGTTTCAGGCTGTCATGGTCTGCAATGCATCTAAAAATGCCGTACCTAAATGCTGCAGAGAGGACACGTCCAGAGCAGTTTGGGGTGACAGCAGGCAGCATTGACCCATATGTCTTTGCAGGCCTTTGACAAGAAAAAAAAAAAAAAAAAAACAGAGCACCCCAGCTGTGTTCAATTTCTTTTCAACAATGCACCGAAACCAGCACTTGCGAGAAATAGAGCATCTGCACTTGAGTGATGTGACATCTGGGCTGTTGGTGCTACAAGCTTAAAAGAATATGGATTCTATAAACTGTGAAACTGAGTGATGTTCACTTTACCATAACCTTTTAAATGCTAAGCATTTCTTTGAAAACTGCAAGCACTTTTGGTGTCTATCTGTGCATCTGTCTGTCTTTCTGTCTGTCTGTCTGTCTATCTATCTAATCTATCTATCTTATCTATATATCTTATCTATCTATCTTATCTATCTACCTTGTCTATTTATCTATCTATCTATCTATCTATCTATCTATCTCTATCTGCTTACATCTGGGTGCCCTTGTGATCACCCTCTTGGTTTAAACCAACATTAATATGGGAGGATAAGATGGTTTGACGAATATGACGCACTGGTATGCTCTGCTGGTGTGCAGGTATGTGCTACAGGTGATGGACACTTAGTCTCTTCGCAGGAATGATGAGAACACACATGGGCAACTTCCACGCATGAGCGTTAGGAAAAATTTCACAGTGCACAGTGCGCTCGCGGAGGTTTTGCTAGCTTCACATATATCGAAGTCGATGTTACGTACATGACATAAATGGATGGTGAAGGTATACGACTGCTGAATATGACAATACAACGGTCCCTCCTTCATACCTGACGTCATCTCTTTCTCTCTCTCTCTCTCTCTCTCTCTCTCTCTCTCTCTCTCTATATATATATATATATATATATATATATATATATATATATATATATATATATATATATATATATATATATATATATGAAAAAGAAGGTGTCTTTGGATCCAGATACGAAGAACAAGAGGATGGGCAAAACAAAAACTTTTTATGTTTTCTACGTTTCAGCCGGGGACCGGCTGAAACGTAGGAAAAATAAAAAGGTTTTGTTTTGCCCGTCCTCTACTTCCTGGTGTGTGTGTGTGTGTGTGTGTGTGTGTGTGTGTGTATACATATACATATAATCTCATTCCCTGATGAAGAGAGGACCCCTCCCGAAACTGTTGGGAAATAAATATATTTATCCTTGTTGACAACGCTCCCGTTGTGCCATATTCCATACCTTCAAGAAGACTAACTGGCCCATTGAATTATTATTCCCACTATATATATATATATATATATATATATATATATATATATATATATAGTCAAGTAGATCCTCCGTGAGCTGTGACAACGTGGTTTATTTCGACATTTCGGCCTAGAGTCTGGCCTTCATCGGGATAGAACTACCATTGATGAAGGCCAGACTCCCGATGAAGGCCAGACTCTAGGCCGAAACGTCGAAATAAACCACGTTGTGACCGCTCACGGAGGATCTACTTGACTATATGCAACGCTACGGCCACTCAATCACCATGCCTGCCTAAATATATGTATACATATACTTTTATATATATATATATATATATATATATATATATATTGATAGTATACATATACGGTGAATGATGGAGGCAAAAAAAAATTCAGCCTAGACTGTCCATATAGTTGCTATCGCAATAATATAAAAAAGCTGTACATCGTCGGGGCCTCATCATGCGCGCACAGTGAAACTATGCACGCGCGTGCGGCATAAAAAATGAAGAGCGAATGACGGGGACACAGACACGTATACCACAGAAAACTATTAGGTAAAATGCCCTCCATAGGCAATGCGGCCCCACATATGTGATGCTAACTAAAAGCAAGGCACTGCCAACATGCAAAAGTAGTTTTCTTTTCTTTTTTTAATTTTGGTTTGTAGTTGGGGGGAGGCACACCCGCGCATGCGCCTGCAGCGGCGAGAACAGCGGCAACGCCGGCTTGTGGGGTGCAGGCCCACCTGCTCGTTTCGCGCTCACCCGGGCACAATAATGAGCGCTCACCATGGCGTCGTTGACGGCCGGGCAGCCGCGGAAGATGCACACATGTACCAAAAGGCCAAAATGCGGAGCAAGATTCCTAGGTTGTCTCTTGCTGTTACTTTGTTACATAGAGAATGAAAAAAACATGTGCTGCAATGGAGCAATGGCGGAAAATAGAAAAACTTTGTTATATCCAGGAATTCGTTATATGGAGGTTCATTATAAGCAGATTTAACTGTAGTGCCTAATTGAATAATTGAACGGGATGAATATCTGAAATCTGAAAGGGCAAATGGTGCAACTGGGTTGAGCTGGGGTGGCTAAAACCGGCTAAAACTAATGCTAACATCGTTACAGTAGGCCTTTCAATAAAATGTTTACTGATATCCTAATACAAAAACGAGCGCATGCATATTTAGATGGAAGTGCTTATTTCTGCACGTAAACAAAACACGCGAGATAACCGCCAAGTCCTTGACAACCTCACTTCTGAAGTTGTCGAGGGCTTTGACCGTAAGTGGGTTGCAAATGCCACAAGAACCGTAAAGCGTCCCCGCCTTGGGCCACGAAAACCTCTGCGATTGGCACACTTGTAAAAACTCATTCACACTGTGGAGTCGCCACAGCTGCACCGTGCCATTAAGTTCAGAGACTCCCACGGTTCCGGCGTGCAGTTAAAATGCTGCCGCCAAAAGCAGTTTGTGACATCAGCCGTGTGTTTCATCTCTGCAGGTGTGCTTGGCTGTGTGTGGTTCATGCTGTGGATGTGCCTGGTGTATGAGTGGCCCGAGATGCACCCAGGCATCTCCAATCGTGAGCTGCAACATATACAACGCTACCGGGGCAGCTCCTGCGCAGCTCAGCAGGTAGGTTGGAAGGTTTCTCTGTGTTTACTTGTTCTCAATTTTGTGAAACAGCAGTGCAGAAGATGGATGTGCTTGAACTGAGTATTGTGTCATGAGCTGCTGATTAGGTGTTAAATGGTTTACCTAGCTGGTCTGCCACATATGCAGGGCATACTCAATTCGATTCCTCGTACTGCAAGCGCTTATCAGTTTGTCCAAAGGGCATAAATTTATTTTGACCTGGTGCTCAGCTGCTTACAGGTTTTCTATCTCGAAAGGGAGCTATATCAAGAATTCTTCTGTAGCCCCTCTTGTCCAGTCGCACTCAGCTGACAAGTACTATGGCTATGGAAGACCAACTAGGCATCTTCAAAGCCAGCTTATGACCGGCCATTTCACATCCTTCTATGAACAAACAAGTTGGCCATGAAGAGATATTGTCCAAAATTAACCTTCTTTAAAATGCCTCCTTCATCTTTACATGTACATTGATGGCATGATTGCCAGCTCTCTATTTGGCATTGTCTCATTGCTGTGTTCATTTTGACATCATCTCTAGGTGGCTTCTGTCACATGCCTCTCCTGGGAGTGCACAGATAGCTTGCATAAAAGGATGCAAAAAAGCTTGCATGTTCGGTTTTCGACATACACAAAAGCTTGACCAGGCTTTCATTGAGGTTCTGGTAAACGTTCAATGTAAACGTTTTGTACTGATCACCTGCAATTATGGAAATAAAATTATACTTGAACAGATTAAAGGGCACAGTCAACATATTCTTCTTGGGCCCTAGGTACTTTGTTTGTTTTATAGCATAATGTTAATATATTTTTACTGCACTACAAAAGCATGCATGTGTACAAACAGAATGTTCAGACAAGCTCTGGCTTGCCTTCACCAGTTCAGTCTTGGTGGTTCAGCTTGATTTCTTCGTTCGCATATTCTAAGAGATTGTTTCTTATTTATTTTTTATTATAGTAACCTGAATGAAGGGGTGACATGGCTTGTGGACACCTAAAAATCGCAAAAAAAAACACGTTTTTTTCATCTACAGCTACTAGTGCACTTATACTGTAAATTTTATACCTATAATATCATTATTTTGGCCGCTAAGACCCTTTATACAGCACCTATTAGGTAAATCTGAGCCTAAATCGACGTTTAAATCGCACATTTCTTGCGACACGCCCCGGACCTTCCATGTGTGCCAGTGCGACTATCTTGATCTGATTTGACAGCCGACTTTTGCCTTCGAATTTCGCCACAACGGACCCAATTCAGCTATTGGCAGCTTAAAAATGCCCGACGAAACGAAGCATCAGGGCGCCCTCCTATTCGCTACTTTGCGCATGTGCTTTGAGCTTGCCTCCCTATTGATGAAGTCTCCTGGCTATCGTCTGCTCCACATGAAGCAGAGGCTGCTGTGGCAGAAGCAGTGCTCAAGCTCAACGCAGGCAATTAAAGGGGATTGGAAGACACCATGAAAGAGCTGAGCCTAAACCCCAGCTGGCATAACTGCAGCCGCATGGCTGAAAAGGATCGAGGGCGCACGGCAGCATCAGCAAAGAAGCGACAAGCAACTGGAAACATGCACCACACAGGGAAAAAGCACCACACAGGGGCTATAAAATCTCTCGGATCAAAAGGACTATATGCCGGGTGTATACTGAGCTTTTTCAAGTGCAGTTATGTAAATAAAGGAGTTTTGTTTGTTTTTCTCAGTTTTCTCAAAACATGCTTTTTGGTCACATTACTAGTTTGTCAGGCTGATATCTTATGATCTAGAACAGCTAGAGTAATATTTTCTTTAACATAAAGCCGAATCTGTGTATTGTAGAGCGGAATTTTCATTGGCTGCCCATATAAATCTGAAATTTATTAAATTTCCTTGTATGTGATAGCCAAGACATAACTCCTGAACTTTCATCATCTGCAGAATCACTAGTTCTGCTTTGATTTGAAATCTGCTTGTGGCATTGCACTTATTGCTAATTGCACTGTCTAGCAATGTAATAATATTCACTTTTTGATAAGCACTTTCTTTCTTATTGCCTCCCAAAACAATAGAGTGGCAGCATTGTGTATCTTCTAAATAATTGACCTACAATAAAAATTTTGCATATTTGAAATCGGCGAAAAAATCTACATAAGCATGTATATTTTCATTATGTTTGGGCTAAAAATGTGGAAAATATCTCCGCACACCATGTCCCCCCTTATGTTTGGTGGAGCTTTGGTTATTAAAAACTGAAAGCCTTGTGCTTAAGTTTTGTGTACATAATTAGCACGTTGGTTAGTTGCAGTGCCATCCTCTAGTGTAATTAAGAAAGTTATCGCGGTTCTTCTATTGTTTCGCTTTATGGATGGTACAGTTCATTATTTCTGCATACCATGTGCAAGATTGAAGCTGCGCTTGACACAATAATTCCTTCACTAGATCATAAATTGCATTTCCTTCTAGAAAAGACTATACCTGCGGCATAAGCCACAAAAGCACTACTCTACCCTTACCGTTCTCCTCCTTTTCACCCGGTACAGTCGCTAGAGCCTCTCGGGACAACTCCTTGCAAGCTGCAGTGGCACTGTTAGTAATTCTTGCAGACGACACGACGTCCATTGGTGGAAATAATGCCAGCATTGTTGAAACCAATGGAAGAGTTGATCAAACTAGAGTGCGACGAACCACATCTTGAACGTGCTAGCAATGCGACGTCGTAATTGAGTTGAAAACGATGCTAGGAAAATAAAGAGGCATTGAGAGAAATAAACGCATAAAGAAAAAGCCATGTGTTCATCTTGCCTGAATGTTTAGTTTTGCTGCAGGCTGAAACACTCATCAAGCATCGGGAAAGGAGTTGCAGGTACCTTCGAAGAGGAGTTTACACGACCAGTGACTCAAAGCGATTTCAAGAGATGATCACTCTCCAACAAGTAACGCTGTACTGTGCAGTAAGGAGTAACCAACAAGAACGCTGACACAAAGGTGCTTGAAAGGAAACTCCTGTCACTAGAAGCTCTTAAGCTCTAGTCGAACTTTCTGCATAGAAATGCCTGGTGTTTGTCGAACTGGCACTTCTCCAACGCGCTTCATGAACGCGCAACCAACCGCCCACACGAAGCAGTGCTGCGCCTCTCATTGACACATTGTTGCCGACATTGTCGCTCTTGCTGGCTCCTGTGGTACAGTTGCTAGGTTCACCACACAGTGCCTGCTCGAAACATGTGGCAACGTTCCTCTAATGGCAAAGCTGGCAACGTCCCAGGCATAGTATTTTTCTAAGAGGCATTGACAAAGTCACTCTGAACATAGACCGCCGCGGTGGTCTAGTGGCTAAGGTACTCGGCTGCTGACCTGCAGGTCGCGGGTTCAAATCACGGCTGCGGCGGCTGCATTTCCGATGGAGGCGGAAATGTTGTAGGCCCGTGTGCTCAGATTTGGGTGCACGTTAAAGAACCCCAGGTGGTCAAAATTTTCGGAGCCCTCCACTACGGCGTCTCTCATAATCATATGGTGGTTTTGGGACGTTAAACCCCACATATCAATCATCATCAATCATCAACTCTGAACATAGACGCTGATATTGTGAAAAAGTTCAAATCGTAGAGCAACTGACCTGGAAAAACTGTCCTGGGTTTAAATCCTGGATGGTATGAATTTCTGGTCAAATAAGAAACTTTCTTTTCAAAAAATTTGTATGGATTTTTCTGTAGCTTTGTGTTTTAAAATGATGGATAACAGCTTTTCTCTTTCGAAGGGCATATGATGTCATACTACAGCCAAAGTCTGAATGAAAGGGAATGTTCCTGCCTGGCATTCTTATGTGAGTGTCTGGCCAGTGCCACCAAGGGGCCAGGTTAGTAACCTATACCGTGCCAGGCGCTGTACTCGCCATCTTTCCAGGATCACTGCTGCCACAGCCGACAGCGACGTGCTGCTCTACCAATGACATCACATGGCATTTCTGCCCAGGTCATGTGACTCTCCTTCATGCGACAGCGACTGAGAGTTTTGCTGCTGGGCTTTTTAGAAAATGGAAACATGCTGCAGGCTTCTGCAGAACCGATTTGCCGACAGTTTGTTGCATGGACGAGTTTGTTTTTTGAGACTCACTTGAGCCTTGTCACTTGCGAATTGCCCAGGTTTGTCTTGAAGTTGCTGGTGTGCTTTCATTGTTGCAGCCGCATGGAGTGCCATGGGGCCGCCTTCTGCGGTCGCGGAGTGTCTGGGCCCTGGGTGTGACCATGTTCTGTGGCAACTGGGGCTTCTACCTGCTGCTCATAGATCTGCCAAACTACCTTCGGGGAGTCCTGCACAGGCCCATCGGAAGCGTGAGTAGCCAGAGTGGCTTTATTTAAATGCAGATTGCTTTGCAAGCCCAGACAGTTGTATTCCTGCATCGCTTGCCATGAGACACAGGCAAGAGATATTTGAATAAAAAATAGGGAGGCTATCGCTGACAACTCTGGGTCGGAAGGCTCACTGTAAGGTGGCTACGCTTTGTTACAAGTCTGCCTTTCGCTTTCCTGGATCAATAGCCGACGGTCAAAAAAGTTAAACATCACGTCATACCATTCATTGCCTTGTGTTTTTTTTTTTTTTTCGAGGGGGGCAGGGGGGGATGTTGCATTGCCTGAAGGGCGCAGGCGCTAACGCTTCTATCTAGAGGCATAATGAGACAAGCTTGTAAACTTTCTGGGCTAGTAATCACTGCTTCAGCAAATAAAGTGATCATTGCCTGTTAGCCTTTTGAGTTACGCTCTTTTGAGTTACACAATATTGTGTATAAAATACACAATTTGTTAGTTTCAGTTAAGCTCTTAGCAATAAATGTGATGCCAATAGTCTGTTTGCGTTGAGAGTACTTGATAGAAGGGTGTAACTGCCGTTTTTAATGCCTGCCACTATACCACGCACTCCAGCGATCACAACCAAGGTTTATAACAGCGACCCCCCCCCCCCCCCCCATTCTTTCCTGCTTTTTAAAATGGGAAGTGGATTACTCTCTGCTTCAATAACAATCAATGTCAGGCCTGGCACACGGGGTGATGTTATCACATTTGCACTCCATGCTAAGGAGATAGGTCGGCTCTTCTTATTTATGCTTTAGCCGCATTCGTTGTCCTCACTCACGCGCTTTTACCCGCTTGTAAAACACACGATATGCAGGGGATGTTATCGATTGGGACATAACACAAAACATCAAAACATGACGACGGCCAGTGGCATAGTCGGAGGGTGGGGCACATTGAGAATGTGTGTACGTGTACCCCCCCCCACCCCCCCCCCCCCCATCAAATTTTTCAGCCCATAATTGCTTTTTGCTTCCCCCCCTCAAATCAAGGTGCACTCTCCCACCGCCACCTCCCTCAAAAAAAAAAAAATTCTATCTACGCTCTTGATGATGGCAAAGACTGGTCGAGAATGTCTGTATAATTGCTATCGCAATAAAAACAAAATAGCTCTAGCCTTCGAGTCATCTTAGGCGGATGCATAAGGTACCCTGCGAGGTTTTTTTCTTTAAGTACTGCTTTCTAGAGGACATTATTGTTTGTTTGTTTTTTTCAGTATAGACAGAATGCCCTGGCCACATTAAACATTGCTGCAAAAGGAAAACGAAGTTTGTTAAATCTGTTGTTTCAGCACATAGGTGCGAGTGTCGGAGGAGGTTGGCTTTATGAGCCTAGCTAAGTGACGTCATGTTACGCCCAGCAGTATAATCAGTTTTAAAGAAAAAGAACCTTTCTTTATCTTCAGAGTCATCTTTAAAAAATGAGGTTAGGACTCTGTGAGTCTCTAGCGTTGTAGGTCACAGCGTTTGTTTACCATATCTACTGATAACCAGGTATTTAGAATGTTATTTAATAAAGTACAATTTCATTCAACCAGTATTGTTTATTTGGTACGAAAATTATCACTCAACAAGTTTTTCCAGATTGCTCAACATAATAATGCCATTATTTTTGCATCATCAACTGAAATCGCGAGTGCTCCTGAGATGATTGGCTCCATGACATTTGCAATGAACCGAAATATTTCTAGCTCTTCACAGGAGGCAAAAGCCTCAAAGTATATATTGATGCCCTTGAATATAAATGCAACTCGCTTCTCCTCCAGGATGGGAAGTTAGCTGCTCCAGATTGCTCCAAAATGGAAAATTTCGTTTCTCCAAAGTGCTCTAAAATAAAAAATTTTGCTGCTCCGAAACTTGCTCGAAATCAAAAGACCTCAGTAGGATCACTGTATAAAGAAGAGTGAGCATATATGTCATGACCCAGCTAACCTGCACAATATTTAAATAAAAAATTTCAACAAGGCCTGTGCAAATGCCATTTTTGCATCAAAGAAAGCACTAACAACTTCGAATAGCAGCAGGATTTGACTTTTGGTTGAATGCAAGTGATAGCCTGTAGAATTTGTAACTTTCTAAAATGCACTACATAGCATATAAGTCAGTATAACAAGCTTTTAAACTTAGAGTATGAGTCGATGTGAGGGTAATACCCTCATTTAACTTTGAAGTGGGGCTTCGCGGCATTGCAATTTCTTTTGGATTTGTGTTTTCACGGCTTAGCACTACTTCACTGCAGTGCAGCCACCTTTACAGGGTGTCACTATGCATTTATTCGTTCGTTTCGAATAATTCGAAATTTTCAAAATAATAATCTAAATTTGATCCAAGGTGAATTCGAATACTTCATTATCTTTTTGAATATTTGAAGCACTCGAATATTTGCACAAGCCTGCTTTATACACATCGCAGTGAACTAGTAGAGACGAGATGGACAGGATTTAAGTTTATTAGCCGATTCTGCTGTACCCTTGTCACAGAGTTTCCTAAATTTACCTAGAGGAGACTCTGGCTCTTGGATTGTCTCAGCCGTCATGTTTGCCTACTCTTTGCCTACTCTTGCCTACTCTTTGTGCTTGCAGGCTTCGAAATAACTTGTGGCTTTGTTTATTGCTGCGTTTTGTTTTGGCCTTGTTTCAAATAAAAGAAGGGACGATTGCGAACTTCGTGACCTGATTTGAGATGGTGAGCCTAAAAGGTTCAGGTGTAACTGTTCAACACTTTCTGATTGCTTCTTTTCCTTGATAAAGCAGCTTCAAGCCACCCGAAGCCAAACAAAGCCAGAATTATGAAGTTTGGACAAATTTGTGTTTTACTCACCATTCTTGTGCTGACTGAAGCGCTGTGTGCTGCAGCTTCCTAAATACTAGTGTCTGATATCTCTCTATTGTACATATAGGAAACTATGTCTATTGTGTAAGAAAGAAAAAAGGTTCCCGCCAACATTAGCAGAAAGCAGTGAACAGCAGCAGGAAGACACGACAGAGCAATCCTGAGAGCAGCAGCTATGCATGCATATTACACGTGAAATGTTATGATGAAGATTTCGCTAATACTACTGCTCTATTCTTTCTCAAGCTGTGCAGAAAGCCCATGTTTTATTGCTCGGGAAAGCAAGCCTTGTGAAAGGGCATTTTCTTTTCCTTCGCAGAATGGCTATGAGAATGCAACTGTGCACATAGCTGGTGCTGTGAGCATGTTGCTGTGTGCGCCCATAGCCGACATGCTTCGCAAGCGCCAGATGCTCTCTGTCACCGTTATTCGCAAGCTGTTCCAGACCATTGGTAGGTGTGCGCACACTTTCTTGTTCTGTGTGGTTTCATAATTGTTAGCCTATTTTGAGACCACTGTTAAGACCACTGTTGCTTGAAGATCCCTCCCAATGAACTCCAACCCACCATTGCTAGTAGTCGCTGGAAGTAGCATAGGAGAGACTCCCCATTGTTTAGAATATTTTGGCAGCTTAATGGCAGCACATTGTTAGGTCTGTAAGAGCGACACCACCTACAAACCTTTCAAAACTATTTGTCTCGTGTGGAATGAATTCACGGAAGGTTGCAGTCATTCTCTTGATTGTCTTTGTTTGTGCATATTAAGTTTGTGCCAAAAGAAGCTTCCTTCAATTATCCATCAGTCAGTGCTCGTTGCTGGAATCTTTCCCAGCTCAGTTTCGTGGACTTGTTCCTGCACCCAATTATTGTAGCTCAAGAGTGACAGGATCTTACTAGGAGAATGTTGACGGCGAAGTCCATTTCCATTTCAGAGGGTGGAAGGGTGGCAAGCACGTGCAGTTGGTGGTGTAGGAAAGGTAGAATCTGGCTCTATTCTGAGAATGTTTTGCGTGTGCAGTACACAGATAAGTGTGGTAGCTGCTAGTTTTTTTTTTTTTTCCTTTCTGAAAATCCAAGCATTCCATTTCCCTTTTATCCATAGACACCCAGAAGTCAGAAGCAATTCTCATATCCTATAACACAGCGTGAGAAGGATATTAGTAATAAGTTTTTCACTTTAGAAGATACAAAAGTTTAAAATGTAGCAGCTGTTTACCATGGACTTTTGGAGTCACTATTGCCATATCTTAGCTTGATTGTAAGAGGAAGTGTCATCACATAGCCTATATAATGAAATCAATTTTTTGTCTGTTGTTTTCACAAGTTTGATGCTGCTGGCAGGATTGAATGGTCTCGTTCAGGGGGCTAAACATTAATAAAGAAACATTGCCCTAACAAGACCAGACCTCCCATTTTTGCCTTGGATTACCCCTTCCCTGCATAGCAGCGTTAAGAAGCATGGGTTGCAATTCACTAGCTGCAAAAGTTGATTGGGATTATAGTAAAGCATAAATTTTATTAATTAACTAGTCACCACATTTTGTCAGCCTGCATACAGTGGTGCCTGCTGCCTCCACTGATAACAACAACACTGATAAAAATTCAAGCCTCCACTGATAAAACAAACACAGTACCATGTACACTTGTATAAGGGCCGCCCATTTTTTCTGCAGTTTGGATGGGGTGCAGCCCTTCCAAGGTAGTGGAAAGCTTTTGTTCATCCGTGTATGGAGAAACCTATTCAGTCGTGCCATGTATACCTTACGATGGGATATCTAGCGTCTAGCTGCTGGCATTCCGGCTGGATGTCGTTACCGGTGTCACTTTCTCGGTATCGCAGCACAAAGGATCATTGGCATCGACGAGAAAAGCGACAAGGCGTCCCAGATCACGCCGTGTGACAAATCCGCAGCACAGCTATTATATTCTGGTGGCTCCCACGAAATGTGCTGAACGTGAGACGTGACGACGCTGCCATTCGCTGTTAGGTTTTTTTTATCCTCTTCAAAATTTGAACTTTTGAGTTGGGGGAAGCAGCCCTTACACGAGCGCGGCTCTTAGTCGAGTGTATAGGGCATGTCCTATTGGCTGGTACGTTCAGAAAGAAAGTTTCTGAATTTTATTCTACAGAAAGGTGTGAAGCGGAAGGTGGCAAGAGGTATTATGTTCTCACATCCACGCAGGCTTGCTGGGCCCAGCACTGTGCCTCTCGCTGGTTCCCCTGGTAGGCTGCGACGCTAGAGCGGCAATCGTGTGCCTGGTCTCCGGCATGGCCCTGTACGGGTTCACGGTCGGAGGACAGAGCCCACTAGCCCTAGACATTGCGCCAGACTTTGCAGGTTGGTTTCCATTTGATTAGTTTGACTGACATGATATGCTATCACATTACTTCTTTTTTTAATTCAAATAATAGCATCCTGAGTTCATGGATTTTTTAAATATGCTAATTTTGCTGGAAGGAAGATAAATAAAAAGAAGCAGCTTATTGTTTGAGTGGTTCTTAAGTAACATGCTGATTCTAACTGAATTTGGGTTGCCAGAGTTAATCAATATTTCTTTATCGGTTCTCTAACACCAGCCAAGTGCAGCCTCAATACAAATAAGCAGAAGTGATGCCAGTGTATCGTATTTAGGCGCATAATTCGCGCACTTTTGTTCGTGATCCTGGGGCTCCGAGAAGGAGGTGCGCAACTTACGCAGGTATTTTGTGATGGATACAGAATAATGTGCAATAGTCCTAACCTGCATAGGAATTGTACTACGAACTAACACATACTTTAAGCAGTCAGATTCAGTCAGGCGTGGTCTAGTCAGAATCCCTGATCGAGAGGTCCGACTGAGAATCATCGTCGCGGCTGCTGCCATCACCATCCCCTTGGTACTGTCCAATGCATTCGAATGTCCTATTTTCTTAAAGCTCATCTTGACAATGCTAGGAGAAACTAGGTCCCATGACACGGCGATACCGGAGGACCTAAGCATTTTAACATAATTGAAAAGTCCTTCTTCTACGGCAGGAAACTTGTATCAGCATGCGCACACTCTTTTTTGTCCGCACCAATTGCGTCAATCGTTACACATTGGAGAACTTCACGCTGAAGTGCTTGGCGGTGGCACGATTCCAGTTTTCTTCGGCAAACTTCGCAACAGCGAGCTTGAATTTTGCTGTACATAAATTACTGCAGCCCATCGCAAGAGAACAATAAAAACGCGAAGGACGAAGGGCAAAAACTTCCGATGTCAACTAAGCATGTGTTGCTGCGCAGACGCAGAGAACGAGAGGAACAGTTGGCTCGACAGGCCCAACAGGTCCTCGCACATCTCCGGTACTGAAAGTTGTTCGTGTCGTGATCCCCGCGTGCATTCACATGGTGGTATAGATGGAGATATAGAGGGTCACAAAGCCTGGAGCAGTTTCGGAGACCCGTCAACACGTTTGAGTGTTCGTGCAGAGTATTCTAGGGATCCTAGTTTGGGGGAAGTCTTCTGAAGAAGTGACTTCGCACTCGCAGCTCATTTGACTGTGCTCACCTGATCGCAGAGCATGTGCCCAGCGCACCTGTCCCAAGAATTCATCCAAAGGTCCAGAGTCTTTCCTGCGCGTGCCAGCAAGCTGGCTTGGCTGGGTCAAAAAGCGCAAATTATGCGAATAATTTTTTTTCGTAATGCTGACAAAATATTAGGGGTGTGCAAATTATGTCATGGCACAAATTATGCAATTAAACACACTACTTTTCTCTACAAAACTGGCGTTGCGCTAGTACCGTTGTCAAGACCAATGTCTATTTTATCACTTTTAACCCACACTAAGTATGCAGAAATTCTAGAGCCAATGGCGGGGTGTGGGTGATGCACGAATTTTGGTGTGCGAATTGGCTTTGTGGCACTGCTACAAGATAATGCAAGAAAATGTGGTTTGAATTCAATATGTATCATTTTTTTTCCCCTGCAGGGTTTGTAGCTAAGTTAAGGGTACAGATTATAAACTAAGAAGGTTATATATGAGAAAAGGGGTTATGTAATGCTCTCAGTGAAAGGCTACAAAGCTGTGTTCAGTGTGTTTCCAGTTTGCGTGACCAAGAGAGGTGTTCCATTTTTGTGCAGGCACAGTGATGGGCATTGTGAATTGCATGGGCAACCTTTCGGGCATGCTGGCACCCCTGGTGACTGGCTACATCATCGAGCACGACGTGAGTCGCTTTTTTTTTACTGCTGCATCACCCGCTGAGGTGTGTGAACGGCCTTCGTAGCTGTTTTCCCACTGATCTGGAGGCAACTTGTGCTTTACATATACAAATCGTAAGAATACCATGAGACGCCCAGGTAAGGCAACCGTTTAATGTGCCAGACAGCAACGAGACAACATACAGTAATTTCGGCAGAAGCAGCACGAGCCTCGGCAACAACATCGTCTTCGTCGTTGCTCCAGCAGTGCCCATATTTGTCACTACAATGACTCCCCGGTCGAAAAAGTGCCATCCTGGCGACCTATGATACTGGCAGGACTGGTGGCTCGTAGTGAGGTTTCAAATGGTTGACGTGCACAGTTTCGTGCCCGCGGCGTCGTTGATCTGTAGGTGGCTGAATGGCTCAACAATGTAGTCGACTGGCAATGTCCGGCGCAGGAACCGGTACAGACCATCTTACATGGCCGTGAACTTTGAAAAAAGGCCGGGGGCAGATGATGGCACATAGAGCCATACAATTGTTCCAGAGGCGTATGATGAAGGGAATAGACTTATGAACTTCGGTCATAAGTGTGCTTCTGGTGAGCCTGATCGTGCGTGGTAAGCGAACGTGCGAGCTGCCGACATTCTTTGGCATAAGGGGCTGCTTCAGCCAAAGTCGTCGATTCTGAAGGGTCTTGGCGGTACAGAAGGATAGTGTCCAAGAACGAGGAAGGTTCCCAACCATAGAGAAGGAAGAACGGGGGAATCCAGTCGTAGATTGAATGGCGCTGTTATATACATAAGTAACAAATGACTGTTTGCGGTCCCAATTCGTGTGGTCATAGGAAACATACATGGAGAGCATATCACCTAGCATGGTGTTAAATCGCTTGGTCATCCCGTTGGTTTGGGGGTGATAAGCGATGGTTTTTCGATGCACGATGTTGCATTCGCGCAGGAAGACTTCTACAGCTTCAGACAAGAAGGAACACCCATAGTCACTGACAAGTTCGTGCGGTGCACCATGCCAAAGGACGGGGTTGCGCAAAAAGAACTAGCCGACTTGTCGCACGGTGACCTCGGGAAACCCTGAAGTTTCAGCATAGTGTGTAAGGTGGTCCACGGCTACGATGACCCAGCGGTTTCCATTTGGTGTGTATAGAAGGGAACCGTACAGGTCGATTCCGATGTAGTCGAAAGGCCGAGAAGGACAAGGCAGTGGCTGGAGTGACCCTGTGGTTGTGCGAGGGGAGCTCTTTGGTCGTTGGCACAAGGAACATGAACGAACGTACTGCCGAACAAAACGGTACATTTCGCGCCAGTAGTACCGAATTCGTAGGCGAGCATATGTCTTCACCGTACCAGCATGGGCACAACGCGGATCCGCATGGAAGGAGGCACAGACGTCCGAACGTGGGTGGCGAGGGATTACCAGCAACCATTTGCGCCCATCAGATAAGTATTTTCGCCGGTGCAAAAGGCCGTCACGTATTGTAAAATGGCGGGCAAATCCTCGAAGTGAACGATTGTCAATATGTGGAGACGTCTGAGACAGGTACTCTAGGAGAGGCGCTATTCATGGATGCTGTTGTTGTTCAGAGGATATTTTTGATATGTTCAAGTGAAGAACATTCGCAACTGGAAACAGGCGCTGTAGTATAATCGTGGGTAAGTGGCAAGCGAAAAAGAGCGTCAGCGTCTGAATGCTTGCGGCCTAACCGATAGGCTACACGGATGTCTTAATGCCAAGAAAACAAAAAAAGCAGATAACAGGGCCTAATGACGGCCTTGTTACGTGAACTCAAACTCCCTGTCTAAACAGCCACTCGCTTTTCGTACACACAGCACGATTTTACATTCACCATGAACACTCAAATTATACAATGGAACGTCAGGGGCCTTCTCAGAAACCTTGACGACATCCAAGAACTTTTACACGAACACTCTCCAAAAGTGCTATATGTACAAGAAACACACCTTAATTCAAAACACACAAATTTTCTTCGTAAATATGTTATTTTCCGAAAGGACCGTGATGATGCCATGACATCATCCGGAGGTGTTGCCATTGTAGTGAATCAAGGAATTGCATGCAGACACTTACAACTCCAAACATCCCTTGAGGCAGTTGCTGTTCGAGCGGTTCTTTTTGATAAACTGATCACAATCTGCACTATTTACATTCCTCCTAGCTATCAGCTGCAAAAATGTGATTTACACTCTTTAATTGATGAACTTCCGGAGCCTTATGTTCTCCTTGGAGACTTTAATGCGCATAGCAGGCTATGGGGTGACTGTCGGTGTGACGCGCGAGGTCGACTGATTGAACAGTTCCTTCTCTTGTCGAGCGCGCGTCTCCTAAATCGAAAAGAACCAACCTATTATAATCTCGCTAATAACACCTACTCCTCCATAAACCTAAGCATAGTATCCCCATCTCTTGTGCCTCTACTCCAGTGGAAAGTCCTCAGTAATCTCTACGGAAGTGACCACTTCCCCGTAGTTTTGAGCACAATTACAGCAACCGAGTGTCCACCACGTGTTCCCAAATGGCTCATAAACAGAGCCGACTGGAAACAGTTTTTACCATCGCTCGTCTAGGTTGGAGTGACATATGTACTTTGAACATTGATGTTGCTGTCAACTACTTCACAGCGTTTTTGATTGATGCTGCAACAAAATGCATCCCACAAACAAATAGACACCCTAAAGAACGGCGTGTGCCATGGTGGAACTCTGAATGCCGAAACGCGCGCACATAGCAAAACAGAGCATGGAGGTTGCTTTGGAACTAACCGACTGCCGAAAATCTTGACACCTTCAAGAAAATAAAGTCTCAAGGCAGGAGAACGCGTCGGCAGGCCAGAAGAGAAAGCTGGCAGAAGTTTTTGTCGGAGATCAATTCATACACACAGGAAGCTAAAGTCTGGAACATGGTCGGTAGGATAGCAGGAAAACAAGTACACACACTTCCACTCGTAAACACTCAGGGTGATACCTTGGAAGATCAGGCAAACTTCTTCGGTGCACACTTCGAACAGGTGGGCAGCTCGTCCCACTATACTGACACTTTCCAAAAATACAGAATACGAATAGAAAAGCAGAAACTCGAACACAAATGCACTAGATACGAGGCATACGACCAAGCTTTCAGTCTAGCTGAGCTCCGAACATCTCTAAACTCCTGCAGTACTTCTGCCCCAGGTTCGGACGGTGTGATGTATGAAATGTTAAAAAACCTACCAGCCGAAACACGACAAACCTTACTTTGTTTGTACAATGCTATCTGGTTTTCTGGCACTTTCCCTACCTCCTGGAAAGAGGCTATTATTATTCCCATTTTGAAAGAGGGCAAGGACCCTTCTTTAGCTCCAAGTTATAGGCCTATTGCACTTACAAGCTGCTTGTGCAAAGTCTTCGAAAAAATGATAAACTGCCGACTTGTACATATCCTTGAAACAAACAATTTGCTCGACCCATTTCAGTGCGGGTTTCGAGAAAGTAGATCCACCACAGACCACCTTGTTCGTATCGAGGCACAGATCAGAGACTCCTTCGTCCATAAACAATATTTTCTCTCTGTTTTCCTCGATATCGAAAAGGCTTAATACAACATGGCGCTTTGGAATTCTAAGAGACCTGTCCCACCTTGGCGTGCGCGGAAGAATGTTTCACATAATTGAAAGTTACCTGTCAAACTGGACATTCCGTGTCCGAGTGGGCACGGTTCTTTCCCAAACATTTGTCCAGGAAACAGGCGTGCCACAAGGTGGTGTACTTAGCTGCACACTTTTTCTCATCAAAATGAATTCCTTGCGCTTGTCCATCCCTCGCAATATGTTTTATTGTACATATGTCGATGACGTCCAGCTTGGCTTTAGATCTTGCAATGTGTGAGCGGCAGGTTCAGTTAGGTTTAAACAAGGTCTCCAAATGGGCAGAGTAAAACGGATTCTAACTAAACCCACAAAAAAGTACGTGTATCTTGTTCTCTTGAAAGAGAGGCATGCACTCAAAACCCGACATAGAACTGAACGGTCAACGTCTGTCTGTTAATGCGGAGCATAAATTCTTAGGCTTAATCTTGGACAACAAGTTGACCTTCGTACCGCACATCAAGTATTGAATAACAAAATGTTTAAAAGCCATGAATGTTTTAAAGGTGTTGTCACGTACTACGTGAGGTAGTGACAGGCAATGTCTCATGAATCTGTATAGAAGCCTCATTCGCACCCGCTTAGATTATGGGGCCGTTGTTTATTAGTCTGCGACTCAACGTGCTTTGAAGAGGCTGGACCCCGTGCACCTTTTGGGCATTCGCCTTTCTACGGGTGCTTTTCGCACCAGCCCCGTAGGAAGTCTTTACGTTGAGTCAAATGAGTGGTCGCTTCATTTGCAGAGAACTTACATGTCCTTTGTTTATTTCCTTAAGGTGAAAGCAGACAAGAAGCACCCCTCATACTCTACTATTGATGATTTGTCGAGCTCCATTCTGTTTCAAAACAGCCCTTCTCAGTTCGCCTGAAGGGTCTAGCTGAGGAAACTGGAGTGTCACTTGAACACAGTCTAATTGCTCCTGTAGCATACCCACCACTGTGGCAGTGGCAGACTATAGATTGCAATGTGTCTTTTCTAGAAGTTACAAAACATGCGCCTATTGCCCATATACGAACATACTTCCTGGAACTTAAACACAAATACACACGTCCTGAGTTCTTTACAGATGCCTCCAAGTCTAACTCTTCTGTGTCCTATGCTGCTGTCGGCCCGTCCTTTTCGGATGCTGGCCCTCTACATCCAGGCACGAGTATCTTCACAGCGGAAGCTTACGCGATACTTGTGGCGGCTAAACACATCAAGCAATTACAAATACAAAAAGCAGTAATTTATACGGACTCTCTCAGTGTGGTAACGGCTCTGCACACTCTTAAAAACAAAAAAACCCGGTCCTTGTCTCACTTTACTCTATTTTATGCACACTCTACATACTCAAACAACATGTTGTAGTGTGCTGGGTGCCA